AAATGGATTGAATCCTGTGAGTACTTCCCTTAGTCCCCGTATACAATACCTAATTGAAATATTTTCGAACTTCCGGTTTACTTTATTTCGCATACATCGGCCAATATGTGAAGTATCTTATTAAAATTAAATGGATGTATTTTACTTATGATTGTGCATTTTTATGTCTAAAATAAGTAAAATCGGGTGAAAACTTGCACTAGCCGCCATATAACTAATCACAGAATTTTCAAACATTCTATTGATTTTACTCCATATATAATATATTGGTGATTGTATGTGTGGATCCTTAATGAGACTCAGGGAACATTTTATTCTGTTATCGTATGTTGTATTGCTAAAAATAGATAAAATCGGGTCAATACTACCCCTAATTCTCATATACCTAACATAAGATTTTCACACTTCCGGTTGGCCTTATGCCATATATGTATGTATATCAGCCAATATATAAAATATCTTAGCAACATTAACTGAACGTATAATATTAGATATACTTTAGTTTAGTACTACATATATATTTATAAAAATATGCTTTTAAGTATACCTCAGCAGTGTGAAAATTAACCCAATCAGCCCATCCCTTTCTCTGTTCTCCACCAGACAAAATGTACGATACCTTTTTTAAATTAAATGAAAAAGTTTTCTTAAAAATTGTGTGGAAATATTAATAAAATTGGTTTAGACATTGGTGTAAACCTTATATCCCTAAAATAATGAATTCCGATCCTCTGGTTAAAGTTTTCACATTAACTCATTATATTCAATTTAACTTCTTCAGTTGAGTTTATATTCCATATATCTCATTTGAAGATGATTTTAATAAAATTTTAGCTGACTGGAAGTGAAATATAGTAATAAAACTAAGTGAGTATATGACCTATAATATAACTCAATAAAATACCAAATTTGATTATAATCCATTTACGATTTCGTCGAACAATAAATGTTGAATTGCTTCGCAACATTTTTTAATATAAATTTTACCTAAAAACTGAAGGTATTTTCCTTACTTTGATCCTTGCAAGTTGTAAAAGTGTCAAATGTTCGGTTAAACCCGCACTAAGCCTTTCTTTACTTGTTTCTGTTTACTTTATGTTAACAGCGCATCTTTACTCAAAGGATATAGACAAGTTGGTTGAAAAGTTTCAGCGCTCGAAATGAAAAAATACTGTTTTTGGTACGAATTATATTTTTTTATTCAAAATAATCTCCTTTAACTTCAATACACTTATTCCAATATCCTCCAATAATTTTATGCCATCCCTATAATGACTTTCCGAAAGCTCTGCAAAATACCCGTTTACGGTTGTAATAACTTCTTCATTCAAGCTCAAGCAAGTCATACTTTAGTTCGAATTGCATTTTGTCATTGTTAAAATACTTTTTTCTTGATGAAAATTAATTTTTTTGTGCTGTAAACCTAGACTTTTCTTACGAATTTTTTTATCCAGCTGCTCTAAAAGGCTGCAACAATATTCAGAGTTGATTGTTTTACCTTTCTGCAGATAACCAATCTACAAAATTCATTTTGCATCTCAAAAAACTGATGCCATAACTTTCTTTGCTGATCGTTGTGACTTCACCTGTTTTGGAGTTGAACAACCAGTTTCAGTCTACTGTAAATGTTCTTGTTTCAATTTAGGATTATGGTGATAGATTCAAGTCTCATCCATAGTTATACAACGACGCAAGAAATCGGTTTTTGGACGTCCTTCGCGTGGATCGTTTTCAAGCCTAATACAACCACGTTTAAATTCACCAGCCCAAAATTCAACGGTGCATTTTGAAGGTAAGGACTTCTTATACACTTCTAACAATTGTTCATAAATTTTTTTTGCTTTTAAACCTTTCAAAACCAAGAATCTAATCACGGCGCGAAATTCAATTTTTTCCATATTAAAAAAAAAAATGACACGCCAACTTCAAATGGCTTGTAAACAAAGAATTAATTGACAGAATGACTTGTAACTTTGCATGTGTTCTCACACGATATATTTTACAAGATAGGCATAATATGTCTAGATGACATAAGTTTCGAAATAATTTGGCATGTAATTATATAGGTGTTATACAGAACAATATGCTGTGGCATTGAGAGGTTCGTGAGTTCGGTAGATGTAAATGCAGTCTGAAATTGTTCTCATTAAATGAATCTTGATAGTTGGTTGTCAAACCAGTTCAAAGCCCGTTAGACTTAAACAGAAAAACAGATCGGCTCTCTATCTTAAAAGGAATTATTATTGACACTTTGTAATGCCTACCGTTATTTTTCACAAATTTCTTCCAATACAATGCGAAAAGAAGGTAAATACATGTAAACATGAAATATTTTCAACTACAACAGACAATTCTCTCGGCGATACACTTCAAAACAATCTTACTACACACAATATTCTCTAAGTTAGAACTCAGTGTACCATAATTAGAATATTTTTAAACTTTCACAAACTTTACGGCTTAGTCCTATTTATAATGGCTACCTTACTTGTAGTTTCACTATACATTTATTTCGTCTAGGTCTCTTTACGCTGAATAAGCAAAACTAACGTTATTTTCTCCACAAAACCAAACATGTTACAGAGATTTCGAAAAATTGGAATCACTGCCTGAAATACGGTCTAATAAAATAAAATATTACGAGTATTCTTCCAATAGATGACTTTAGATTTCTGTATTTTGCTTTATGTAGGCCTGGAGTTAGATTTCGTACTAAGAAAACTTAACAGCCAATTCCGCGTAGTTTCGGTTTCGGCAATTCCCTTCCGGTAATTTTGATATAAAATATGCACCGTTCTCTGGCAGACGAATTGTCGAAAATATCGATAAAAAAAATGGAAATCGTCGAGTCCGACCGTCATGTATGTTTAGCACTGTTTCGATTGCCCACATTGCATAAAATCCGTTTGAAAGCATTTAAGTAAAGCTGAATACAAAAAGAAGAAGGCGGTAAGCCGGCGCAAACGATGGCCAAGCCAGGATTGTTGGTCGAGAGAGTTTTGCTATGTGTTTTGTGGGATTGGCAGGTAACTATCTGCTATAAGCCGCTTCTCTACGGCCAAACTATTAATTCAGATCCCTCCTGTCACTAACTAGACCATCTGAAGGGAGCACATTTATAGTGACCCGCCAGAAGCTCTCGGAGCTTGATTGGGAAGTTCCTATGCATCCACCTTATATTCTGGACCGGCACCAAGCGATTACTACTTGTGGTAAATGATGGTGAAAAATTCGCCTTAAATGAAGCTTGTGAAACGATGCGTTTTTGACCTACATAAAAACATTGAAATTAAACGCATTGCAATTTTGTTATTAGTTGAATTGTGTGTTTCTTTATTTAATATATTTATATATAGTATATAAGTTTTACTCGCAATTTTTTATATACTTTTGGTTTTGTTTTTTTATTTCTTAATGGCAATTCATATTTTTCGTAATTCACCTGCATCTCCAAAGTGTTCTATGTACTTACTTACAGCTATGCTTTGCTTAATACAATCTAATGTGTGTCAATTTATATTATATTTGAATTCTTTACTCATTAAATTTATATGATTTCACTTGCATTTAGTTAATAAGTAGTGTTTACTCTTTCGTTTATAACTTCTTTATAGTATTTACTGTACTTGTTGTCGATTGAAACATGATTGTGCTCAACATTTTTGTATTTCAGTTGCCTTCATATTTTCATTTTTAGTTTTTTCTTCGTTAATTTTTTTATATACTTGGGTTGTGTAGTCACGTGTTTTGTGATTTTAAGTGTAGGTTTTATGCATGCTCAACGCTTGCTGCATTTTTTGGCTCTGTAGTGTGTACTAAGCATGCTTTTGTGGCGAAAAAAATTTATAAATTTATATTTTTTTATGGCGAAAAATTACAACATTTTTGTAATGCATTTTTTAGTACATTTTTTTTACTTAAACACTTATATTCGAAAAATGTAATTTAATTAAATATATTATTACATTCTATTTAAGAAAATTTTAAATTTCAATTAATTTATATACTAAATAATTGAAATTTAAATTGAAACGAAATTAATTAATTTTCTTATGGAAAAATCACAATAAATTTATAAAATGTTTTTTTATGTGTTTCTCAATCAAACATTTTTACGTAAATACTTATATTGAAAATATTGAATTTTTTCACAAATATTAATGTTTTATATTAGAAATAATATTACATTTTTTTTAAAAACATTTACTTTTTAATTAATTAATTTAATTTTTATAATTAACATGTAAATTTAATTTTTTCTTAAATATTAATTTATTTTATATTAAATAATATTATATTTAAAACATATTACATTTAAATTGATTAATCAACGTTCTTTCCATTTGTGAATTCACAAAAAAAAATAAGTTATACAAAAATATTATTATTATTATTATTTTTTAATTACTACATGTTAATTAATTAATTAAATTTGTTTAATTGATTAACAATTATAGCATTTTAGGGTAAAAATGATTACATTTTGATTAATTAAATACATTTTTTTAACTAATTAACATTTATTACATTTTAATAATAAAAATATGTTAATTAAATAATTTAATAAAAATTTAGTAATTCAGTTTGTTAATTATTAATTATTAAATTAAAATGGTTAATTATTAAATTTAAATCAAATAATTAAAATTAAAATTAGTTGATTATACACTTTTTTTTGAATTTTTTTAATTAACTAAAATTGTTCAACGGAATTAATTAATTTTAATTTTTAAAAAATTCATTTAATTTTCACTACAAAAACGATAAAAGCTTTACATCTAAAATAACTAATTTAATTAAAGTCAATAAATTTCGTTTGATATTGTTAAATTAATTAATTTAAAAACTTAAATTAATTAGATAAATTTTAAATTATTTAATTAAAAATTAAATTAACTAACTAAAATTTTTTATTTAAATTAATTAACACTTTTTAATTTTTTAAAAATTAATTAACAATTATTCAACTGAATTATTTAATTTTAGTTCTTAACTAATTCATTTAATTTTCATATTTGCACACTTAAAAGTTCTTAAAAATTGTGAAAAATAATTTAAAAGTTGAGTGCTTAGTAAGTTTTCGCACTGATTGCACTTATGTATTATATATACAAACATATAATAAATAATTTATTTTTCTTTTAAATTTAATTGAGTTTTCTTCACATACTGCTTTGCTCCATGTATTACATTACAGCTACATTCACGTTTATTCGTTGTTAGCGAAACAATAACATTTAATGTCTTTTACTTATAATTATTATTTTTTAAATAATCAATTAATTTTTTTAAAAGCAAGGAATTTGAAATTGCAAAAAAGTGTTACTGCCATTAAAAAATTTCACTTATACATACGTACTTACACCAAAATATAGCTTCAAAACTGTTTTTAGTCATCTGTATATACTCGCTTTGTATACATGTGTGTGTTTTACATATACTTATACACATATATATATGGCTTTAACAAAAGTTAAATACAATTTTCAATTCATAAATTTACTTCATTCCCTTACAATTCTTTTATTTACTTTACAAATTCCTTGAAATATACAATAAATGCAATTTTTTCCTTCAAATACCTCTAATTAAATTTATATTATTTAATTTTGTTTAATTTTTTTATTTTAATTTTTACCATTAAATGCTCACAATATTTCAGCAAATAAGTGGTTTTAGCGATTTCTCATCAAAAAAGTTCGCGCAAGCTTTATGTAAAAAAAAACACACATACAAACATACATACACTATTAATTCATTGTTGCATATATAAATAGTTAATTACACACATACATAAATATCAAGTTTGCTTTCTACTTCATTGAAGCGTATTTTGTAGTTACACATTTACGTAATTTAGTACAATAGCTTTTTGTTATCATTAATTCATAATCGCAATTTTTTATTATTAGTGAAGTTCCACTTAATTAAAACTACATTTATAATTCCGTGACATATATGTATATGCTTATATAATACATTCTTAATATTAAAAAATTGCACAAATCATGATTTTTTTCTTCTAAGACTTGTAATTGGTAGCGAAACCTTTTATTTTTTCATATTTAAAGCTTTTTGGAAGCAACAGAAGATACGCACTACAGAGGGTAGAAAAAGCTCTTTGGATTAAGTGAGGGTAAATAGTGAATAATTATGTACAATAGAGGAAGCTAACAGTATGAAAATTAATAAAGAAATTAAAATTTTAATAAATTGATGAAATATACACTTTTTTAGGTTGATCAATATTAGATCGCTTTTTATAGCTTTTCATGGAAGAAGTTCTTTGATGAAAGCAGCATTTTTAATAAGCTCAGCTACGATTTTTATATGAGTTTCAAAACTAGAAATATGTCAGAACACTGCTCACATATGATAATTTTTTTAATGCTACGAAAACACTAATTTTTGTCTATGGAAGAAATATGGAACCGGTGAGTTATTGAAACATCTTATGTTTTTACATATATCCACTTGTAAATTTCAAAAAACGATTTTTTTTGGATATATATCGAATAAACATATATTTTAGAATATATATCGAAAATTTGATGCTGATTCGACAAAGATCTATGAGCGCTTTTTCAGAGTCTGTGAGGAAAATTTCTCCGAAACGGCTGAACTGATTGACTTGAAATTTCCACACGACTTCTTTCGGTATATTTTTCAGATGATGATCGAAGAATCGATTTTTGATAATAATTTCGATTATCGCCAGACATCTTTTTTTGCGGTCTTCCTGAAGATCGCCTACGGGATCAAGGGAATCTAAAATTTTTAAAACAAGAATCACCGATTTTTAAAGTACATTGAATTTTTTAAATTGTGTATTTTTAACAAGTTTTTAAGTAACTTTTTCTGACTTGCAAGTGGATATAATCGCTTACATAAAGTTCGCTTAAACTTGCAGAGATAGTGAGAGAGAGCGATATTGTCTTAAAACGTGCAACTGCTCACTTCATATGTGATCACTTTCAACTTTATGAAGAAAACAGACTGATGCTTCTGCCTGGTAAAGTTCTTTCAACGGTTTCAAAAAGTCGTTTTATTGGGTTTTGGAGTTTAAGGCCAGTATGACGGGGTATCTTATTATAAGAAATAAATGCTTTATGGATCCAAAGCGCTTTTTATTTCAGTTTATAGAAGTTGTTGGAACAAATAATAGCCATTCTAATGCTGTTGTTTAAAGTTAAGTGGAGTATTATTGAAGTAGTTTTTATGACGATTAGTGATTTGAAATATCTTGCTGATACTTGGAAACAAAAAATTTATTTTGCTTGCCTCTCTCGCTCGCTCTCTTATCCTCTCTTTCTGTGATTAATTGAGCTTTTTGACTGCGGATATCACTGATTTAAAATGTGAATTAAATAATCATGATAATGGACTTAAAATCCAAAGAAAATATAAACTGGTTATAAAAGAGTATAATCTCAATAATTGTACATGTAATGGTGGTATTTTGCGAGAAAATAGGTCTTTTGACCTATTCCCAAAAGTAAACTGGTCTAAAATGTGAAAAACAAAAAAAAAAAATTTTTTTTAGTAACCTCTGAGTTAGGAGTTGTACTTATTTTTATAAAAGCTTAATTTAAATCAAGTTTTAAGTTTGAAAAATAATACAAAATTGTGTCAATGTTAATTTTAATAGTATTTTTCCAAATGATCCATTTACAATAGTAAACTGGTCTAAAATGTGAAAAACTCGAAAAAACTTGGTAGCATTGAAGGTAACGATTATACCACTTTAGTGCGGGATCCGCGCACTCTCTTGCATTAGTTTAACTCGTTAGCTTTGTTATTGATTTACACGTAAATGTTTTGAAAGAGAGCAGTGTGCCAGCATAGTGAGCAGAGAAATGGCGAATCGAAGACTGCTAATATTATAAATACATTCGTCGAATTGGAACTCCATTCTCCATTTGTCATATAAGCATGTGATATTGATAACTCGTAAACGTCCTAGTGTTAATCAAAATACTTTCAAGCCTGCTAATGGTATATTTCTTTTGTAAAAAAAAAAAAAATTAAAAACATTATTTTAAATACGAAAGTCAAAAGTTATAGCAGAAGAAGGCACAAGGGAAATTTGATGTGTATGATTTCTAGTTTCTTTCTACTTGAGATAATCTTGTTCTAGAAATATATTTCCAATAGTATTTTTCATATACATAAATATATATGGTAACTATGAAGGTGTGGCTATGCAGCAAAATATTTTTAAAAGTGCATAGTTTTAATAGTAAATTCTGAATTGTAGCTAAATGATAATGATATGGTGTTGAGACTTGGAAAAAGCTTAAGTGTACATAGAGATAAGCGACTATTTTTTAAAATTCAACTCAAAGTTGCAAAGTAGTTGTAAATGTTAATTGATATGCACCTAATTGACACAAAATCACCATAATTCTATTAATTTCTAAAAATTAAAATATTATAAAATATAAATTATCAACATTTCTATAAATAAAAAATATATAAAAAACATTTTTTTATAATTTTTTTTAAAATATATTTTAATAAAAAAATTAAATGCATATTATAAAAAATTATTATTTATTATTAAAATTATTAATTATTAAAAATATAATTTTTCATAAAAATTAAAAAAAAAACAGCTTAAAATTTTTTTTACAAAAATATTATATATATTTTTTTACAAAAATATTCTATATATTTTTTTGTAATATATATATTAATAAAACCAAAAATTTTATAAAAATACTATATTTTTATTTATTGAAATGTTTATAATTAAAAAAAAAAACTTAAAAAAAGTTTTGCACAAAAACTATTTATATAATATTTGTTTTATAATATTGTATATATTGTACATATGTATGTTTATATGTATTAAAATAAAACAAAATTTTGCCAAATTAATAGAGAATAAATTTATTAAACTTAATTGTCTTAGCTTTCAGACTGCTTTAAATTGCTAAATTTTTTTAAACCTTTTTTGCTTTTTCTTATTGTCAAAAACATTTACATATCTGCAGGTTCTACATAGTATCTCAACATACTGTTATTTTACTAAATTTTTCAGAAATTACTTTTTTTTTTAGAAACTACATTTTTTTCATTACTTAACAGCATTTTAATTTCGTATTAATATATAGAATTTCGCAATGAAAACAAATGTTTTATATTCTGTGTTTGCTCTACTAACCTTTAAATGCAATATATTATATGTATAGTTTTGGTAACCAGTGTACATGCATAAAATATATAGTGTTAGTGTCTATGTAGTTCATATTTTTACTTTTTTCACAAAAACTTTGTCAGTTAAATAGTTTTCTTGTATTTAATAGAAGCATTTAGAGTATTTTCGTATTTGATTTGCTGAGAATTGGATTCTTTGTAGACAGGTCAGGCGGCGGAGATAGGTACACATACGTCTAACTTATTACTTATTGCATTTCAATGCTTTAATTTATATATTTCTTTGTGTGTTTGTGAGCTTAGAATTTAGTTAGCTTATTACTATCATATGCAACTTCGTTCATATTTAAGATTATTTATTCATAAGCATATAGAGAAAAGATGAAAACCGGTTATATAGATGAATAAATAAGTTTTTTATAATAAAAAATCAAATTTATTTGTTAAAAAATAATTTTATTTTAAATGAAAAATTATACAAAAATACGAAAAATACTTAAAAGAAATTTAAAAATTCAATGTAGGTTTTCTTTTAATAATTTTCAGCGAACTACAAAATTTTTTTGAACTAAAGCCTTCGTAGAAAATATTTCTCATTTTCCTATACCTACAGAAATTTCAACTTACATCTAAGATTACATCGCATTCGTTTAAGTTCTCGTTATATACATAAACACATTAGTATTAATTAGTATTAATTTTAACCGCTAAATCTACACATATGCTAGAAATGCTAGTGATGTGTATTCGCTTTGAGGCCTCAAATTGGCCATTTGAGAGAAATTTACATATGCTTAATGCTATTTGCATTTAAAATTAGTTTCAAATATTGGCTTTCACCTACAATAGTGCCAACATTTTAATATATTTAGTTTGCTAACGCTGAAGCTAATATTCATCGAATCGACGAAAATAATATAATAATAATCCTGTGTCTTCTGTAAAGGCAGGAAACAGGGCTTAAAATTAGAGTGTACCAGCAGGATGTTTTAGAAGACGTGTAAATACAGTTAAGCAATATTCTCTTCGATGGAGAACAGTCGATTTTCCAACAAGATTCTGTTCCAGCACACGAGGCAAAAACCACTCAGCAGTAGCTAAAAAGCAATATTCCTGGTTTAATACCCGCAGATTGGCCACCTAGAAGTTTAGAATTGAATATATTGGACTGCAAAATGTAGAGAGTCAGAGTTGGAGAGTCTTTGGTTCGAACAGCGTCATCAATACCAATAGAAACTGTGTGTGCTGCTTTTGATCAATTTTCGAAATATTTATGGGCCTGTATGAAAGCAAGAGATGATCGTTTCGAATAAAATTTTGAATATCGCTCATTTAATATATGCATTAGTAATTAAAATACATTTTATTTTAAAATGTATGATAGTTTCTTTTTGATAACGGCCTGAACTTGTAACAGAACTTATGGCAAGATTAAGTGCCGCCCCTGATAACCAGTGCTCCCTAACTACAAGTTGCTATATTCTTATTTTGCACGTAGAACATAATTTAAATAATATAATTATGGCAAATTTTTATTTTAAGTTGCATGTTAACCCATTCCATGAAATTTATTTAAAATTATTATTTTTTTTTTTTGCTTTTACCAAAATAAGTATTTTCTGTCATTAGGTTTCTTTTTTATGGTAAACCAAATATTCATCGCTTCAAGGAAATCTATGATCAATTGCAACTATCTTCGAAAACTACTAATTAATTTTAATTTGGCTATGAGTCACCAAATTTCGTCAATGAAAAATATTTTTTGTTCAAAATTAAAATAAAAAATTGTGAAAAAAGTGTTAATACAAAAGTTGTCGATCTTTTTATTACCTACAACTTTGCCATATGACAGTTTTCTATAGGACTCGTAGTTTTGCCAAACAATGAGTTAAACCGTTAATAGTGTGTTATTTTCTGAATGCAAATTTATAGATTTCTGATTCAAATGACTAATCAGCTATTAGACACATATACATTTTAGTCAAAGAACGATGAAAGAAAGCAAATCTTTAAATTTTTTGATTGAAAATACACATTTTTTGAGTTCAAGTAAATATTCATCGATTCAATGAAAACAAGTTTAAGTTAATTTGAAACAAAAAAACTGTTTACTTTTTAGCTTTTTAATAGACAGTGTGCTTTTTGAGCTGAAAATAATTTTCATCGGTTCGATGAAATCATGTTTTCTTAATGTTTGACCAACAATATGCCACAAAATATAAAAACATTAATAATGTTATTTAAAAACTTGCAACACTTTACACCATCACGCAATCATTATTCGCCTTTTCGACGAATATTAGCTGTTTAGCGTAAAATAATTAATTACTTAACTATAAATATATATTTTTTTAGAATTAAATGTTTTGTAATGACATCTAACCTTATGTACCTACTTATTTAAATACTTATTTACTGACTAAACAAAAGGTTTTTGTTTTTTCACACACAAGGTAGCTTTTGCTACATACATACTATGTCTTTAAGTATTAAATTCGCCGAGTTTTGCTTTACTTATAAATTAAATTTATAATCTTTAATTCAAATACTAAGTATTTACGGCCATTCAGGCGGCGCCAATCATTGTGATTTTATGCAGACAATTTTTTACATGCATTTTCGTTTTTACTTAATAAAGTTCACTAGCAGTTTTATAAATCGTTGGTTATTTTTTTTAACACAACACCACCTTAGTAATGCATTGTGTTGTTGGGCTTGAAGCCCAAATTTTTTCGCTGCAGAAATAGATGAATCTCACGGAAATTCGGTCGACTCGATTCGTTGCGCTGCCAGCACTCACACATTAAATCGTAAATTTCACGCGGACAATTTAGTGGCATCGGCAGTAGTTCCTAGTAGTGTGAGAAAGGAGGAATAATATAATATATAATCAATATATATTTGGAATAGTATGTACGAGTATATACATATATACTAGCATTATACCATATATAGTATATATTATAATTATTAAGTGCTAGTTACTCACATGCAATTTGTCATCCGCATAGATATGTCCGATATTCTCAATCACTTTCTCATCCGATAAATGTTCGTAGGGTTGTTCGCGTGCAAAGGTTAATATCTCCCAGAGCGTCACTGCAAAGGACCAAACATCTGATTTCGATGTGAATTTGCCCTGAAAATAGTTAACAATAAGAAAACTTGAATTTTTTCGTCTACAGTTATAAGTTTGGATAAAAAGAATAATATAAATAATTTCGATAATGAAAAACTATAACTATATTCAATGTGTTAATAAGTATTTTGAGTGAATTTTCTCATTGAAAATAATTTTCATTTAATATAATTTCATTAACAACCACAACATCTGCAATTTCACTTAAACGCACGAATGCACAAATTTTCGCACAGCTGTGTTTCGTATTGACTTGACACTTGTAAATGACAAATCACAGAGCTCTACTCAAAATTTCACTAAGGGAGAGTTTGGTGAAAGTTATTGCTGATGCTTTGGCAAATATTCTTTTGATGTTACTGTTGAGAATGTTCTTACTACCTTACTTATTTGTTCTTTATAAATAGAAATTACTGCAATTTACACAAAGACTCGGTAGGTCTTCATTATACTGCCAAAATTCTTTTAAAATGTTAAAATTTTTGAGTAAAAAGTAAATTTTTGCAATTGCAGAAATCTAAATACGATATTTTGGCCATTTTGTTGTTTAGTATTAAATATTATTCACAATTAAGGAGTTTGACATAGAAAAAAATTCGCTTTATACTGAACTTTAATATTGTTTATTAAGCTGCGACACCGTTTTGTATGATGTATGAAATTTTGGCGTGCTATCGTGAACTTCAATCCTAAAGTGTGGGCAGTGTCATGCGGGGTATATTCTGAATAAATAGCTCGATAACTCGAGCCCACGATCAGCGATACAAGTAGACGATCACTCTGAAGAGTCAATGGTCTTAGGAGGCGGTTCCGCCTCAAGCAAATTACTGCAAGGATGTTTTTTAAAATATCCCAACAGAAACTGCTTGGGGAAAAGTGCGTTATGCTCCTTAACCGGAAGAAGAATGCCAGCCTCACTATGCAGTTGTTCGATAGAGGACATAAAAAGACAGCCTGTAATAGTTCGCAGTGCGTTGCACTGACATGTCTAAATCTTATCCAACTGCGACCCTGCCCTAGGTGCTGCTGACTAGACTAGCCATTTGCATGTGGACTGAAGGAGTACAGATTGCTTTGTTGACTGTCGGAACTTTAGCGTCTGCGCCGAAAATGTTGAGGTCTATTCTACCTATATTCCTGCATCCAGTTAGTAAATATAGTTGTGGATTTAGCAAGTTAGAGCTCCTTGCAGTGAGGATGTGATAATCTAACTCGAACGACTTTGATCGGTAAGTATTTAAAATGTTCTCTTTAAAAATGGGGGAAGATCTCTGAGTTTCTTTTTATGGTTGTAAAAATTGCATTGAATCTTTGACAGATGTACTTGCTCTACTTCTTAGCTGAAATTGTTGCTTCAGCTATTGAAAGGATACAGGAAGGAGCGTGTCGGATTACTTCAGTTCTATCTATATTTTAATCAGATGGTAATGTTTTCATTTCCTTTAGATTTTCAGAGTTTTATAATAATATAATTTTGTGTGGCGATTTTTATCATGAAATTTCTAAGGGAATCGTTGAATGAAATGAAGTTGAGGTCTTTTAAAAGTCTATTTTATCACAAACACATGGAGTGGCACAAAGAATTCAGTGAAGGTCGTGAAGTCATCGAAAATTCGTCATATGCGATTCGTTCTCCAAACTCTATTCATGACGATATCATCGAAAATGTTAAGGAAGTTGAAAATCGTAGTGTTGGCATTAGAGCGATAGCAGAGGATTTCAACATCTCTTATGGATCGACTCAACACATTTGGTTAATGTTTTGGATATGAAACTTGTCAATGTTAGATTCGTAATTAAGCAATGACAGCCTTGTATTGGCTTGAAAGCTGCTTATTTTGAAAGCGACAACAAATATTTGTTTTAAAGTTTTTTGGCAGTCCGGATATAATTTGTTAACTTGCATAAGGATAGTTAAATTTAAATAATGCCAAATGTAAAATAAACCCGGTGGTCTGTTTATTTAAGAATACAACACAAGTATCTTTGGAATGAAACTAAAAAGCCTCTAAGTAAGTCTGACTGTAATTAACTATCAAGGGATTAGCAGCTAAATCGGAGTTTTGTTAATCAAAAGAGAATCACTCTATGGCACAAAAAGGTATTTAACTTAATCATCCATGATTTTTAGGTCAGAGAGGAAAGTGCTTTCAAGCCGAAAGATCTAATGGGATTACACTTCATTACTTTTAATGTGTCCTGTCAAAGCATTCAGCATATACAAGACAGTTGGCAATTTTTCTATACCAAGTCTTGAGAAAATTGTTTGATTCTCTTCAAGAACCTCAACCAAAATGTGCAATTCGACCTGAGTTCTGTTTTGCACTCCCCTCTTTAACACGGGTTAATATACGCCCAACACTCTGATGAATACCAGGTTTCGTTGGGAGCTATTAAGGCAATGTGCTCTCTATTCGTATATATAGATTTAAGGACCTTCATGCTTCTTCTGCAAAACGTTGCGCAATCAGAGAGCAAGTGCCGTTCGCGCAAGTTGCTATACCCATGTTGAATAGGTGCTTCTTGAGCCTGTAGTAACCAGTGTAATATGCCACAAGTAGTTGGAATTTATCCCTGGGGGTTATAATTTGTATAACATTTTCTAGATTGTATTCTCCCAGCAGCATGTCAGCGTCAATCCCTGATATTCCTCCTTATGGAACAGCTCCTTTATGTGTGGGGAACCAGCAATCAGAGCCGCTGCGTAGCCGGCAAATTCGTAAGCTAGTTCATTCCTATTCACACTTTTGAGTGTTGATTACTTTGAGCACTGACTATCGTGGAGTATAGGAAACTCATTATGATATTTGTACTGGATTTTCATTTCTACATACCGACATATGGTAAAGAGCTCTACTTTAAAGATTCTTCTGACATTTTCATGCCACCAGTGTGCCACTGCATAGTTTTGTCTCTAATAGTTGGTTGAGTGTGGAGTTCTTTCACTTGGCCCTACTGCATTTTGGTAAGAGCGTCTCTTTAGAGTAGGGCCAATGGGATCTTTTCATAGAAGGCTTTAATTTGTTTAGACAAAATTTCGTTACCTCTGACATACTCCTATGCTGTTTGTGCAGCATGGTATGTTTTGTAATTTGATTGTCTAAAATATGGAGCGGTGTGTGATCCAATATGACTGGACATGGATATGGAAGTAATGCTATAAGATCTGAATAAATTTTTCAAATCGGATGACTATATAATATAGCTGCCATACAAACCGACCGATCAAAATATTTTTTTTTTATTTGTGAAGGGTACTTTAGCTTCGACCCAACCGAAATTAACATTTTCCTTGTTTTGTTTTTAGTTTATGTTCTGTTTAAAACCCCTATTATCTCTGCTATAAAACATTCCTAACGATTAATTCATTTGGATATATAAAAGGCAGCTAAATCAAGGCTGAAAATTTACGTCATAATTTATTTATCCAAGTAATTAATTACACTATCCACTCAATCAAAATATTCATAGTTTAAAAAGTTAGCTTGGCTTTGGGGTGCTGGCCAAAAATAATTTGAATACTTTGTCTGCCATTAAGGATTTATTTCAATGACTCTCAACCGACTTACAACATTCTATTTTAATTTTCGGATTTCTAAACTAAACTTCAGAGTCATTTCATTGCCATTTTAAGAGTTTTCACTGTGTGTGTGTGTGTGTGTGTGTGTGTGTGTGGCAACTTAATCCAACCAACGCTTTCGGCCAGACTCATACAGTCATGCCATTTAGTTAGTCATTCATTCATGCGCTCATTCACGCAGTCATTGCTTTCCATTCATTTCAGTCATTGCTCCCATGCTTTTTTAGCTTTGCCGCTTTTTTGATTGTTTTTGTTTTTGTCTATTTAGTCTTCTACTATTTTAGTTTGCGCCACACAATCAGTTTGCTATTCGAAAAGAGATATGAGTGTTTGCTGTCAGCCACAGTAGACGCTATTCTACCCACACCACGACGGCGCTGCAGATGCACTAAAGCTCATCAAAAGGAGTAAAAAGTGAAAAAGGAACAAATATTTTCAAGAGAAATGGAATATAATAAAGCAGTGAGTAGGCGAGTGGCAAAAAACTGTGGCCCCTAAACCGCACTTTTACGGCCAATTTGTACTTTTCACAGAAAATTATTATCAAAAAACTGCGGCGCGTAGACAGCCACATAAATGCAACAACGCACAAACATATACGAGGGCGGTTCGATAAGTATTTAGCATAAATAAATAAAGGCCGAAGGCGGCACTATGGCGAGGGAATTTTACTATCGTGTAGAAAATTCTCGTAGATGGAGAAAGCAATGTCGGTCAATGATTCGAACCTTTGACATGAACGATATGTAATAAAAGTCCTCTTCCTATTCTTCGCAGACCACCAATTGAAGTTGTACAGCTGATACAGTCGGCATCCCAAGAGATCGCGTCGATCATGATCTACATGAAATATAAATTGCAAAAGAAATAAATAATTGCTGAATGAGCTATCGGCAAGGTTGGTGCCGAGTTAGCTTACTCCGTTCAAAAAACGTTACTGTTAGACCACTTCACAGCAGAGTTTCATGCTTTGATTCGTGACCTTCGTTACTTCAGAGGCCAAGGAATAGTTAAAACAGTGGACTTCAGCCGGCGAACGTGCTCTGGTGAAGGGGAAGATGTCATATTAACCGGAAAAATGATGGCCAATTACAAGTATTTATGACATTCATAAGGTGTGATCTTTATTAAAGACGCGCGACAGTGAGATCACATCACATCAGTTTTTATGTAATCCCAAGAAGCTTCTGCTTAACTTCGTGATCATCGCTATATCAGAGGCCAAGGAATAGTCAAAATAGTGACCTTTACAAGTGAACTTGTTGTGATGAAGGGGAAGAAAGGTGATGGCCATCCATTTTCCAGGATTCACAAGGTGTGATCTTTATCGAAGACGAGCAACGGTGAGCTCATTTTACTGCAGATTTCTATAGAATACTAGTGAGCTTCTGCTTTGCATCTTGGTCATCGCCACATGAGAGAACAAGGAATAATCGAAGTAGTGGAATTCATCCGACGAACCTGCTCCGGTAACGTGGAAGACTGTCATACCAACTGAAAAGGTGATGATCTATGATTTTCTAGGTGTGAACTTTATTAAAGAACCGCGAGACCGTGAGACAACTTCCCAGCAGAATTTCAAGCATATCAGAGGATAAGGAATAGGCGCGATAGTAGACTGCATCTAGCGAACCTGCTCCGAAGAAAGCGAGACTCGTCCAATTGGCCGAAAAGTTGATGGTCACCACTTTCTGGATCTTCCATCATAGCAACGCACTACTCTTTTGGCCACTCTTTTTCGGGGATTAACAAGATGTGATCTACATCGACGACAACACACCAGATTACATCTTCGCCGTTGCCACAGTTGAATTGGCCGAACATCTGACACATTCACCGTATTTAGTCCCTGCGATTTTGATTTTGGTTTCGAAACTTGAAGAAGTCACTCTCCTGGCAGAAATATTTATTTATAATTTTATGTTAATCCTACTTTACAGACCTCAAGAAAACGTATTTCGTATACTCAAACGGGTTAACGAAGTATGAACGTTGCTAGCTCCGTGTTTCCGACTAAAAGAAGACTGTGTTGAGTTATATATAAATTTCCTAAATTATCATTTTGCTTTTATAGAATAAGTACTTTTAGGACCGCCTTCGTACATTCGCCGTCACAGAGTCACAGTTAGTACGGCAGCTGCAAATTAAATGCCAACAGAATTGACTGGAAAAAGTACTTAAAAGCTTCACACAAAACTGACTGAAAATTTGTGCACCAAAGTATGGGAGAAATTAAAATGATAGTTGGTGGCAACAAAACCCAAAAAAAAATAAAATTCTAAAAACAAATAAAAAAGTTGAAAATAAAACTGCAAATAAGACATCTGCAAAATTTTTACTGCACATAAAAAACGGTTGCAACACCAAAAAAAGTATATACTGTCTGAGTGCAACAACGAAAATTTTCTAAATCCCATCCGTACGATTTCGTGTGGAAAATACGCGCTAAATGAAAATTTATACGCCTGGCGCTCGGATTACGCGCAAATGTGAAAATACGAGCGAGTGCTTCTACATTCGTCCCTTTACCCCACTAGCCACATTGGCCACCTTGAGCGCTCACACTTGCACCCAATATATGTGTGTATTGTTGTTGTTGTAGTGATAGTAAATTTACGCTAAAGTAATTCTCCTTAGCGCGGGTAGCTTACAGCAAGCTCTGCTCAACTCATTGCCACTCAGCCCGGCATAGCTCAGCTCTGCTCTGTGGCTGCTATTCGGCTAGTTATTTGCACTTTTTATTCATCCGCGCTCATCTGCCTTTGGGCAAACATTTTATGTAAGCGCAGCTTTCGCAAAATAGAGAAAAAACAGTAAAAACACATTTATCTGTCATTTTATTTGCTTTAGTTATTTCGTATACTTTATTTCGTGCTTTTGTTGTTTGGTGCTGTATGCCAGCCCTCATAATGCTCGTGTTCATAGTAGTTTTGCTTGTTATTAAAATTGGCGAAAAGGGTTAAGGCTTTAAGTGCTGTTGCCTGAAGGCGTTTTGTGCCAGCGCACGAGTATTACTTGCATTATAAATGTGGGTTGGTAGTTAATTGCGTAGCTTTTTATGCTTTGCCAACAGAGGTGAAAAGCTTTTCGAAAGTCACATTGCAGTGAGTAGTCGTAATCTTGGGGAGATTTCTGAATAATTATTAAATTTTCTGCGACAGAGGAGCAGAATAGAGAAACATTTTCTTCTAGAAAAAATAACTTCTTATAGAGTAAGTATATATGGTATGCATACATTTAAATATATACATGGAAATATTATTGCATACATATTAGGTTAGATTAGATTAAGTTATAAGATTGATCCTTGCACCAAAAGTAGCGTTGATCTATCTTGGACAGCTCTTAACGCTGGTCGTTTGCGATAACTAACATTTATAAAATATGAATCACCA